TTCCTTCCTTCCTTCCTTCCTTCCTTCCTTCCTTCCTTCCTTCCTTCTTTTAAGAAACAGTCTCGCTCTGTTGTCCAGGCTGGAGTAGAGTGGCATGATCTCGTCTCACTGCAACCTTAGTCTGACAGGTTCAAGAGATTCTCATGCCTCAGCCTCCCGAGTAGCTGGGATTAGAGGCGTGTGCCACTACACCCAGCTAATTTTTGAATTTTAAGTAGAGATTGGATTCAACATGTTGGCTAGGCTGGTCTCGAACTTCTGACTTCAAGTGATCCGCCAACCTCAGCCTCCTAAAGTGCTGAGATTACAGATGTGAGCCACTGCCCCTGGCCTCTCTTCATTTTCTATAACAAATAGTTTTCATATCCCATGATTAAAGGCAGATAATGGTGACCCCAAGTATCCAAAACTAGTACATCACAGCTTTTGAGCTCCTACTGTATAGTCTCAAGGTCCAGGAAAGGTTCAGGTCCATGCCAGCACTTCATACCAGTTAATGCATTGCTCCAACAAGACCAGCCAGTATTCTTAGAAGCTTAACATCCATGTTAGGTATTAAAATCTGCTTTGGAGAGTGTTGGCCAATCCAATTACATGTTTGTATTTATCATCATCATCATCATCATCAACAACCACAACAACAACACAAAACATTCACCTATGTGTTCACAGGACTTCCAGGTGTTTAATAAGCTAAACATGAGACCATCTGTTATGAATATGAAACATTGAAGGACATAGTTATCTAAAGGCATTTGTACTATAGAACTGTAGAAGGGACAAACAATGAAGTGGCAAGAGCTCCCTTCAGCATTTTTATATCTGCCAGTTGTCTATTTTAAGCATAATAGCTTCAAGAAAATGAAAAGACAAGACATAAACTGGGAGAAAATATTTGTAAAAGACATATCTGATAAAGAACTATTATTCAAAATATACAAAGGACTCTTAAAACTCAACAATAAAAAAAGAACAAATTGATTCAAAATTGGGCCAAAGACCTGAACAACCAAAGAAGATATACATATGGCAAATAAGCATATAGAAAATCCTCCATATCATATGTCACTAAGGAATTACAACTTTAAACAACTATGAGATAGTCACTAGCAGCTATTAGACTAGTCAAAATCCAAAGGACTGGAAACACCAAATGCCCGTGAGGATGTGGAACAATAGAAACTCTCATTCACTGCTAGTGGGAATGCAAAATGGTACAGCCACATTGTAAGACAGTTTGGCAGTTTCTTACAAAACTAAACATACCCTGCTGTATGATCCACAGTCATACTCCTTGATGTTCACCCAAATGACCTGAAAACTTATTTCTACACAAAAACCTGCACACGCATATTTATAGCAGCTTTATTCATAATTGCCCAAACTTGGAAGCAACCAAGATGTCCTTTAGTAGGTAAATGGATAAATCAACTGTGGTACATCCAAATAATGGAATATTATTCAGAACTTAAAAGAAATGAGTTGTCAAACCATGAAAAGGCATAGAGGGGTCTTAAATGCATATTTCTAAGTGAAAGAAGCCAGTCTGAAAAGGCTACACAGTGGGGTGGTGCAGTGTATGCATCACCAACTATGTATGGTATGATTCCAAATGTATGATATTCTGGAAAAAGGCAAAACTTTGGAGACAGAATAAAGATCAGTGGTTGCCAGTGGGGAGGAAGGGGTAAATAGGTGGAGCACAGAGAATTTTTAGGGCAGTGAAACTGTTCTGTATGATACTACAATTGTGGGTACATTTCATTATGCATTTGTCAAAACCTATAGAATGTGCAACACCAAGAGTGAACCCTAATGTAAACTTTGGCCTTTGGATGATAATGATGTGTCAGTGTAGGTTCATCAGTTCTAACAACTAAACGAAACTAAACTACATAAGTTAAACTAAATCTTGCCAAAATATTTTTATGACTTTAAGCCTCCTTAATAAATTAATGTTCACATTCAGGGTTTTGAAGACTAGTATTCAGCAAAAGTCTTGCAATGTTTTCTTTGCATCATAAAAGATGCTGAAAGCAAAACCCTGGGAAATATGGAAAATTGCCTGAGTTAGTAAAAGTCATTTATAAGCTGCTGAGGGGCTTTCGGGAACAGCTACACTTTTTATAAGCTTGTTAGCTCATGAAATAATTCAGGATGCCCACCCCGTGTGTCAAACTGGGCCCTTACCCAGCTACTGCCCTTGGAGAAGGCTGCAGCTGCTCTGCAGATGAACTAGGCCCTTAAAACTCCTCATGGCTCCCTACCCACCACGCTAGTGTTAACAGCTCAATTAGGGCTCTGTAGGAAAGGGAAAGAAGTTTGAATCAAAATTTTATTTTATTTTTTTAAATAATTTAAACAACCAGTAAGGAATGTGCAATTTGATGTCTTGCAAAGAAAGTTTTTAGAAACAGGCCTTTTTATCCTGTTATGTTTGTACTTTGCAAGTAATTATTTGATTTAAACGGTACTTTTCTTAAAATTTTTATTTATATTATATTTTATATTGCAAGAACTTCAAATACAGTCCTCTCAATAAATCAGTAACTGTTTGGTCTTTACCCAAACTGAGCTTTTATAGAAGGATATAAGGAAGTCTCTATTCTTTACCAAATCACATCCACTTGTTTTCTGTCCCTGATATCAATCAAAAGTTCATTTCTTCTGCCTTTAGCCAAAAGAAGGTTACAAGGGAGGAATTCTTTATCTCAGAAAAAAATTCTGCATCTTAGATTTTATAACACCTAATGGGGTTAAGGATCTGTGTTGGAAGATCTTATTGCTTTGTGTATAGCGTTACAAACCATAAATAAAATTAAAGTAAGTTTTCAGCTGATGACAGTATATGTGGAGGGAGAAAAAGGAATCAAGTCTTGGGGTAACAGTTCTCTTTTTTTCCCCTTCCAATCCCATTAATAGAAAGAGTGTTGAGAATTCATGCAAAATTCCAAACCAAGTTCCCATAGTAGCACTTAAATAATGTCTGCACACCATTTCCAATTGGAACAAGTTTTTAATGTAACACAATTAATGTCATTATAATTCGGAGTTACTTGAGTGATTTTAATTATTTTTTTATCAACATTGCCATGGAAACAGTCTCTTGCTAAAATGGCTTAAGTCTTCACACATTTAATCAATATCCAGAGGTAGATTTAAAGACTTGAGGTGTTTTATTTATTTATTTGCTTTAAACTATTCAAGGACGTTTCTGGGTACACAGTGCCGTTAATTAAACAGTAAATTCCAGTTTACTATGACTTCAAGTTATTTTTTACACTTCTGCAAATAAATCTTGGACAAAAGATCACTTCTAGTTTCCTGGATTTTTGTTTTTGTTTTATATTGTATTTGTTTTGTATTCAGATTTCTGTTAGAGGAACTCCAGTGCACCAATTTTGCTACTAGACAAAACAGGATTCTCGGATTTGCGCGCTTCGGCGCTGACAGGCTTTTTCGGCCCCAGCGGGCTGCCGTAGCAGAGAAGAGCACTGATTGGCCGAGGCAGAAAAGTGCCGCTGCCTCGGCGGTTTCGGTTTTGCCTGCGATCATCCGCGGAGGCCGGACTCGTGGGGCGCCTGGAGTGAGGGTTCTGGATCCCGCCCGCGAGGTGAGCCGCACGGCTGCGCGGGCCGATGACGGGGCCGGGCGTAGCCCCGGGTTCGACGCCCCAGTGTACAGTCGCGCTGTGGAGCGGCGGCTGCAGCGGCCCTAGGCCGGGCGAGGCAGCCCCGGAAAGGGCCTGAGGGGAACGGGCTGGGGCTCCGGGAAGGGACCGCTGACTGGCAGGTTCCCGCGAAATGCCGCGTCCAAGCTCTCCGCGCACGGAATGGCCGGAGAGGTGTGATGGTGGGCGTCGGGACCGCCCTCAGCGAGGTGCTTAGACTGCGCGGAGAGTAGCGGCACCGTCCCGGCTCCCACCGAGTTGGCGTCCGATACCAGTTCAGGTTGTTGAAGTTCCCCAGGGAGCCCCGAGGTTAATCCCAGGATTCGGCGGGAAAGCGGATCCCGAACCCAGGCCTAGGCTTCGCCAGTCTTCCAGGGCTTCAGGGAATTGCGAACCCTTACATCGGGGTGGCTGCGCCTGACCACAGGAATTAAGGACTGGACTCGCCTGTCTTACTGAGTTGTCAGGCCTAGGAACCCAATTGTATGGTCTTAAGTCCTATCGCCCGAGGTTTTCTGTGCGTTCGCGTGTCCGCGCGCGTGCATAGCAGGCGTGTTTAAGATGTGTAGCATTAGGATGAAGCGGATTACCCTACCCCACTGCTCTTAGTAGTATGTGACTATTGCAGAAGATTGCAAACATGGAAGACTTTAGTGAAGAAATAATATTCACAACCCTTTCACCTACAATCTTTTTCTCCTGTGTATGCTAGCTTCTACTTGAGCTAAAAGTGTACGTGTTTAATCACTTAACAGTATAGTTTTCCACTTCCATTTAAAAACTCTTCCTAAATATTATTCTAGTTTTGTATCTTCTTTTGATTGACTGTCCCTCATTGTGGATCGCAATGTAGGTCCCATAAATTATTCAGTCATTTCCCGATTGTGGGATATTATAGATTGTTTTTGAATTTTTGAAGCTCTTAGCACCCCAGATAATACTTTGATAAACCTTTTCCCCCCTACTTTTTAGATTACTTCTTTGGACTAGATTCTCAGAAGTGAAATTATCAGATTAGATGCTTTCATCTGTAAGGCCTTTTTTAGGCCTTCGTACACATTGCTGCAGTGTTTTCCAAAAAAGTTTTTCAGGTGTTTGGCAATTTTACTTGCTTGAATATTGTACAGAAATCTTGAGAGGCTTATGTTTGTGGGTGGGTGTGTGTGTGTGTGTATGTGTGTGTGTGTGTGTCACTGGAATTAATGCGTTACTACCTGAATGTTAGGGCAGGAAGAGACTTAAGTGGTCATCTGGCATAACTCCCTTATTTTGCAGATGAGGAACCTGGGGCCATGAGAAGTGAAATGATGAGTTATCCAAGTCACACAGCTAATTAAGTAGCAGAGCTGGGATTAGAACTCAGGTTTCCTGCCTCCCAAGTGAGTACCCTGTGCTGCATCAGGCAGTCTCTCACTGAACTCTGGCATAGTAGATATTAGAATTTAAAAATTTGTTTACATCACCTGAAATATTCTCTCCTTTTAAAAGTGTACTAACAGATTAATGATCGGAGGGACCTGTAACACTGAGAAATTGGAAAGTGATTATTTTCATGGCCAAGACTAGAAATCCATTATTTAGAATGGCAACCCCTTCAGGATTTTGACAGTTGTTTTCAGGTTCCCTTTATGTTAGAATAAAACATCCCTGATTAATTATAATCTACACTCCATCATTTGGTTAGAATGTAGCTTTTGGTTATCATTTGCTGTACTTTGGAGATTTCTTTAGAACTCCTCACTGTAAAACCAAAGAACAATGTTGTTGGTGGTTTTTTTTTTAGGGCTTTTAGTGGAGATTCTCAGCTTCCATTGACATTTTGGGCTGGACAGTCCTTTGTTGTGGAGGGCGGTCCTGTTGTAAAATGTTTAGCAACATCCCTGGTCTCTACCCACTAGTATAGCAGTAGCACCACCTTCCTCAGTCATGACAGTTCAGTGTCCCCAGATACTTCCAAATGTCCCTGAGCAGGGTGGGGTGGGGTTGGGGGGACTGCCCCTAGTTGAGAACCATTTGCTTAAATAAATTATCTGGAGAACTTCATAAAATGTAAAATACAGTGCTTTTACCTGAGTAGACTTCAGGAATCTGCATTTTAACAAGCATCTCTAGATTTGGAAACAGCTGGTTCTTGAATGACAGAAAGGGTTGTTTTCTCCGTCTTTGGTGGTCCTAATAGAGATTACTTGGTTAGTATTTGTTGAAGTACGTGCATGATCCTACTAGTCACTGTATCCATAGTTTGGGTTGCTGGGGGCTGGACAGGGATTTTGCTTGGCACTGGCCTTGAATGTCTCTTCCACAGACTTGGGCAGTGTGCTTAGGTACTAGGGATACCAAGTGAGTAGGATATTTCCCCTGTCCCCAAGGAGCTTAAAACTCACCATGGGAGACCTGTCAGCAAATGGAAAAATTACAAAGCAGCCTGATAAGGACCAT